TCCCTATGGGGCCACGAACCCTGTGAGGGGTGCGCCGAAATGAGGGTGGAACTGCATGCGAACGCTGCCACTGGGGCCTTCGGTGGAGCTCCCTGTGGGGCCACGACCCCTGTGAGGGGTGCGCCGAATGAGGGTGGAACTGCATGCGAACGCTGCCACTGGGGCCTTCGGTGGAGCTCCCTATGGAGCCAAGAACCCCGTGAGGGGTGCGCCGAAATGAGGGTGGAACTGCATGCGAACGCTGCCACTGGGGCCTTCGGTGGAGCTCCCTATGGGGCCACGAACCCTGTGAGGGGTGCGCCGAAATGATGGTGGAACTGCATGCGAACGCTGCCACTGGGGCCTTCGGTGGAGCTCCCTATGGGGCCACGAACCCTGTGAGGGGTGCGCCGAAATGAACTGCATGCGACGCTGCCACTGGGGCCTTCGGTGGAGCCCTATGGGGCCACGAACCCTGTGAGGGGTGCGCCGAATGAGGGTGGAACTGCATGCGAACGCTGCCACTGGGGCCTTCGGTGGAGCTCCCTATGGGGCCACGAACCCTGTGAGGGGTGCGCCGAAATGAGGGTGGAACTGCATGCGAACGCTGCCACTGGGCCTTCGGTGGAGCTCCCTATGGGGCCACGAACCCTGTGAGGGGTGCGCCGAAATGAGGGTGGAACTGCATGCGAGCGCTGCGACTGGAGCCTTCGGTGGAGCTCCCGACGGGGCCACGAACCCTGTGAGGGGTGCGCCGAAATGAGGGTGGAACTGCATGCGAGCGCTGCCACTAGGGCCTTCGGTGGAGCTCCCTATGGGTCACGAACCCTGTGAGGAGTGCGCCGAAATGAGGATGGAACTGCATGCGAACGCTGCCACTGGGGCCTTGGGTGGAGCTCCATATGGGGCCACGAACCCTGTGAGGGGTTCGCCGAAATGGGATTGGCATGCGGAGAGCAGAGGCAAGGATGTGAAAACAGGAGGGAGAAGGAGGAGGAGGAGGCGGGAGGGAGGGAGGTAGGGACGCGGGGCGCTGTCTCTTCAAAACGAGGATCCAACACCACAGGATGGTTGGGAAATAATGCGAGAGGTTCCTTTTTTCAAAATGTGACTCTCGCCGTAGCGATGCGCACATTCGTTTTACACATTCACACGAGCTTCACTGATTATCATGGTTTAACGTGCCAGGAACGGCGTTTTGGAAGAATTCTGTATTGTTAAGGCACAACCTTTACGTTGATTCGCAGTGCTGAAATCTCAGGAACGTCGTTCTGGCACGATTCAGGATCGTCAAGACGCAGCAGTCAGGTAGACTCGTGGTGTTGAAGTCCTGAGAATGGTGTTTTGGCACGCGCCAGGATGTTCACACGTGTGTCCCCCAACGGGGCACTTCCCTCAGTGGGACTGAACCCTTGTGTGGGGACTGTGGAGAACGAGCTTGGAGGAAGGGTATATGCCAACATCGTTGATTGGTCTTGGGTTTATATTCAAGGGCTCCTAAGTTCGCGCTTCGCGCTGCGCGAAGCGCGAAGCGCGAATAACTTCGCGCTCTCGCGCCGCCCTCCCAAAGGGAGAATAGGAGGACGAGGAGGAGGGGGAGGAGGAAGGAGGACCGCGAAGCGCGAAGCGCGAATAACTTCGCGCCCTCGAGGGAGCCCTTGATATTGGTCCTCCTCCTCCTCCTCCTTTTCCTCCCCCTCCTCCTCCCCTCTCCCCCTCGTGGAGCTCGTCTGGGTCTGTTGGAGCGCCCAGGGTCCCGAGGAGAAGCAGCCTGCAGACTGAGCCCCACACTCCAGCGTTGGCATTCCGAGCCTCGCACACTGCGTTCAGCTAGGGCTCCCAACTTCGCGCTTCGCGCTGCGCGAAGCGCGAAGCGCGAATAACTTCGCGCTCTCGCGCCGCCCTCCCAAAAGGAGAATAGGAGGACGAGGAGGAGGAGGAGAAGGAAGGAGGACCGCGAAGCGCGAAGCGCGAATAACTTCGCGCCCTCGAGGGAGCCCTTGTTCAGGGCAGGAGTCGCAGTGGACAAGCAGGCTCGAGCCGTTGGAGCCTGGTGGGGCAGAGGCTGATTTGGGAGGCTACCCGAGCACTCCTGGGAAGCCACCCGGGAGCTCTTCGGAAGCAGTCTGCTGGGATCTCGGTGGGCCCTTGGGGAGCCTCGTGGGGGCCTCTTGGAGACGCCTCTTGGGGGGCCTCATAATGGGGGCCTCTTGGAGACCCTCGGGGCCAGCCTGTGGCCATCGCGGGGCGGAAGGGTCGCAATGTGCATGTTCGGGTTGCCCTCTGTGCACCCTCTCGGGGCTGTATTGGGGCGTCTTAGAAGCTTTTCGGGCCGTCTTGGCGCTTTCGTGCCACGCCTGTTATGATACCCCCTGATGGCTCCCCCTTGGGGTGTCCAGATGTGATTCCTGCTTCATTTCGGTGGTTGCGGGCGGGCCTGGGTCTAAGGAGCAAGTATGAAAGGGTTTCAGTATGTGTGGCAAAATGTGCGCAGGTCTGAGTGCGAGTCTGAGTACACGTGAGTCTGAGTGTGAGTGTGGTATGTGTGTATGAGTATGACTATACCTTGGCTGAGTATGGGTGGCTCTGGGTGAGACTGGTCTGTGTATGAGCGTGTCGGAGAACGAGCGGGTCTTAGCGTGAGCGGATCTGAGTGTGAATGAGTCCGAGTGTAAGGAGGAAACGGAGGTGAGGGGAGGGAAAGTGAGGTGGAGGCGTCGCACTACAAAAAAGAAGATTCAAATGTGAGGGAAAACGCTCCAAACTGCCAAAACATGCCCAAGGCATGCCTCACCAAAAAAAACCTCAAGACAGCCAGGCTCGCCCCAAGACGATCACAAGGCCTGGAACGCGGCCGCAAGACTACCCAAGAGGGCGGAGATCTGAGAGCGGTCTCCCGCGGCCCACCAGATACGGGGGCAGATTCCCACGTAGCTGCACGCGGCGGGGAAACAAAAAGTTTACGGCGGGTTCGTGTCGTGCAGACCTCGGCGTTGGTTTCTGGCACCGCGGGGATCGTTCAACCTTGAACGATCGGCCGTTTCCGAAACGTCAAACAGCGCAACGTCGACCGATTCTGGGTCGCTGGCGGCGTTCAACGTGGAACTCCTGCGGCGGGATCGCCGCCGGTCGACACGGCGCGAACCTACCGCGCACGGGAATAAGAAGCCACACGCGAGCCCTGCCCCACCACCCCACGACTTCTAGGAGCGAAGTGGGCCCCCCCCTAGAGATCGGGGGGTGGTGGGGTAGTGTTCGCTCGTGGCCTCCTTGGGATTGAGGGATGAAAAAACGGCCCTACCCTGGGTTACAAGTGCGTGGTCTGTAGACCTCCTGGGAACCCCCCAAAAGCCCAGAGCCGCCAGGACACGGCGAATCACGCAGGGTCCACCGTGCTGGCCCACAGGAGTCTCAGCGCACAGCGCCTCGTAAACCAGGGCAGGGGCGTTTTGTTCTGCCCTTGATGGCAGGCGGCGCGGTGTCCTCCGCGTCGGAGTCCTCCTCGTCGTCGCTGTTCGCCTCCGCTCCCCCGCCGCCCCCGGGGAAGGCGCGCCGCCGGGCGGCTCCCCGCACGCGTGCGCCTCCTCCGCCCGCGGTCGCCCCTTTTTTGGGGGGAGGGGTGCGGGGGGGGGGGGCGGCGCCCGGCGGCGCCCTGCCCCAGCGCTGCAGGACCTCCGCCCCCCGCCCCCTCCTCACTTTTTCCGCGTCGCCAGGAGGTCTGTCCACCCCCGAGTGAAAAGAGAGGGAGAAGGAGAGAGGAAGGCTCACCACTTCGGACCGTGTCGCCGCCCCGGCGCCCCAAGCCGCACGTGCTCGAGGCGGACCTGCCTCACACAGCAGGAGGCGCCACATGCCAAACAGGGGGTGATGGGATAACTTCCCCCCTGGCGAGGACTGCTGGGTCCCCGGCTAGAAAAAAGAGACGGTCGGCGGTGATCAGACCCACGGGGGCCCGTCTGCGTGGGAGAGGGGTAGCGTGTCCACCTCTTCCTCCTCCTCCGCCTCGTCCTCCTCCTCCGCGACGTCCTGTTCCTCCTCCTCCTCCTCCTCCTCCTCCTCCTCCTCCTCATCCTCCTCTGCTCGCGGCTTGGTCACCGACCCGCCCCCCTCCGCACACCGTCGCTCTGCACCGCCAGGGAGCCCCGTTGGCAGACCTTCCCATTGGCGCGCGTCACTGTGATCGTCTTGGGTCGTTCGGCACGGCACCCTTCGGCGCCTTCGACCCCTGGCGCCTGCCCAGCTCGTGCCACGGCCACTGCCAGTCACCCGACGGCTCGCTGGCCGTCGTGATAGTTCCGTTCGGGCGGACAGTTCGCAGGGTCTCTTCCTCATTAGGGGAACGAAGAGCGACATAAACATAAAAAGCTCGGAGGTCCGCGCGGATTTCTCGGATCGGCGCTGGGGGGGGGCCCAGCGCGGATCCAAGAGATCCGCGCGGACATCCGAGTTATTATGTTTATGTCGTTCTTCGCTTGCCTACTTTTTTTAGTTCCTCCACCTCGCAAACGCCTAAACATTCGTATTTGCTCTCCTGCTGGTCTCGCTCGGGAGGAAAGGACGATAACGGTCTTGCGGCAGGGCTGCATGCCGACTCCCGGGCACGAGGTGGAGTATGTTTAGGCGTTCTTGGGTTCCCTACGTACTATTATCCCCCGCCTCCTCCATCTCACCCTCCATCTCTCGTCCTTCGCAACAGCTGCACCTAGGGCTCCCAACTTCGCGCTTCGCGCTGCGCGAAGCGCGAAGCGCGAATAACTTCGCGCTCTCGCGCCGCCCTCCCAAAGGGAGAATAGGAGGACGAGGAGGAGGGGGAGAAGGAACGAGGACCACGAAGCGCGAAGCGCGAATAACTTCGCGCCCTCGAGGGCGCCCTTGATTATCCCCCGCCTCCTCCATCTCACCCTCCATCTCTCGTCCTTCGCAACAGCTGCACCCTGTCGGGCCACCGGACGCTGGGCGTTGCGCTTGATCGATGTCGTCGAAAGCACACCAGTCCTCTGGGCACGAGTGGCCGACATGATTTTCTCCTCCAAGGATAGAATGCTTCCTACAGTTGCCATCAAAGAGGCCATGCTCCTGGTAGGGTTGGTGGCGAAATCAACTACCAAACACGGGCGCGAGTCGTGGTGTGCGAGCAAATTTGACTCGCATGCACGGCCTGCGGCACAGGGAACGGTGAGCAGCTACGCCGTGCGGATTACACCACAACCGACGCTGCCTCGTGGGAAACATAACCAAACGAAACGCTACTTGGACACGTCGTGATTCGGCGTTCGGCGTGGACACCGAACAGAAAGTCGTGCACTGTGGAAGTGCAAGGCAATTTGCGCAAGCTTTGTGGTGAAGTGGATCCTGGTGCAGAGCACCCCTTCACACACACACACACACACACACCGCATCCCGGACGCCTGAAAACAATTGTCCCGAATGCGAACACTCGCTTTCGAGACAGCATGCCGAGTAGGGCAGCGTCGATGCGAAGACAGCGCCCAAGCTGCTTACATTGGCGACGTCTCATGGGTCAAAAACGCTCTCGAAGAATGGCTCGAACTCGGCTGCGCTAGACGGGCCCCATGCAGTGGTGCCGTGACAAACCGATGTGACCGAGCATGCACGGGAACCTAGATCGTCGCGTCCGTAGGCAAGTCGACGCGTGCGCGAACAGTTGGGAGCAACATAACACGATATTTCCAAGAAGATACCAGAACCTGTTTCCCACAATTGCGACCAAAGAAAGAGTGCTCTTTGTCGGGTTGGTGGCCAAATCAACTACCAAACATGGTCGCGACTCGTGTGCGAGCAAATTTGGCTCGCATGTACGGCCTGCGGCACAGGGAACGGTGTGCAGCTACGCCGTGCGGATTACACCACAACCGACGCTGCCTCGTGGGAAACATAACCAAGCGAAACGCTAATTGGACACGTCGTGATTCGGCGTGGACACCGAACAGAAAGTCGTGCACTGTGGAAGTGAAAGGCAATTTGTGCAAGCTTTGTGGTGAAGTGGATCCTGGTGCAGAGCACCCCTTCAGACACACACACACACACACACAAACAAACACACACACACACACCACATCCCGGACGCCTGAAAACAATTGTCCCGAATGCGAACACTCGCTTTCGAGACAGCATGCCGGGTAGGGCAGCGTCGATGCGAAGACAGCGCCCAAGCTGCTTACATTGGCGACGTCTCATGGGGCAAAAACGCTCTCGAAGAATGGCTCGAACTCGGCTGCGCTAGACGGGCCCCATGCAGTGGTGCCGTGACAAGCCGATGTGACCGAGCATGCACGGGAACCTAGATCGTAACGTCCGTAGGCAAATCGACGCGTGCGCGAACAGTTGGGAGCAACATAACACGATATTTCCAAGAAGGTACCAGAACCTGTTTCCCACAATTGCGACCAAAGAAACAATGCTCTTTGTCGGGTTGGTGGCCAAATCAACTACAACAAACATGGGCGCAACTCGTGTGCGAGCAAGTTTGACTCGCATGTATGGCCTGCGGCACAAGGAACGGTGTGCAGCTACGCCATGCCGTTGCGAAACGCTGCTTGGGCATGCCGTGATTCAGCATGTTACCAAAATTATCCTTGGCTGTCAGCTTGGACCCCAAACACTGAATAATTACACTGTGGACTGTTCCTCCAGAAACCCAGGTAAGATCCCCTGTGTGCAAGCACAGATTTAGAACAAATGCTAGAAATCCGCCGACCCCAAAGGCGTGTGAGACCCAGCTCTCGTCTAGGGATCTTCATACTCCCAGCCGGGAGCACCCCCTACCACCCCTGACACCGCCAGCTTCCTGGAACCTCTCGGCACAGGTTCTTCGGGGCCACCCACCTAGCACAAACCGCGCCAGCACCCCCACCACCCCTGACACCGCCAGCCTCCTGGAGCCTCTCGGCACAAGTTCTCAGGGTCCACCCACCCAGCAAACACCGCGCCGGCACCTCCACCCCACCCCCACCACCCCTGACACCGCCAGCCTCCTGGAGCCTCTGGGCACAAATTCTTCTCTTCAAGGCCACCCACCCAGCAAAAACCACGCCGGCACCCTCACCAGCCCTGACACCGCCAAATTCATGGAGTCTCTCGGCACAGATTCTTAAAGGCCACCCACCCAACAAATGGGGGCCACCCAACCAACAAAAACCGCGCCGGCACCCCCACCACTCCTCACACCGCCAGCCTCCTGGAGCCTCTCGGCACAGATTCTTCGGGGGCCACCCACCCAGCAAAAACAGCAACGGCACCCCCACCACCCCTGACACCGCCAGCCTGGAGCCTCTGGGATGAGGTTCTTCGGGGCCACCCACCCAGCAAAAACCGCGCCGGCACCCCCACCACCCCTGACACAGCCAGCTTCCTGGAACCTTTCGGCACAAATTCTTCGGGGCCACCCACCCAGCAAAAACCGCGCCGGCACCCCCACAACCCCTGACACCGCCAGCCTCCTGGAGCTTCTAAGCACAGGTTCTTAGGAGCCACCCACCCAGCAAACACCGCGCCGGCACCCCCACCACCCCTTACACCGCCAGCCTCCTGGAACCTCTCGGCGCACGTTCTTCGGGGCCACCCACCCAGCAAAGGCCGCGCCGGCACCCCCACAACCCCGAACACCGCCAGCGGAGTTTCTGGGTACAGATTCTTGAGGGCCACCCACCTAGCACAAACCTTTACACCGCCTGGTTCCTGGAACCTCTCGGCACAAATTCTTAGGGGCCACCCACCCAGCAAAAACCGCGCCCGCACCCCCACCACCCCTGACACCGCGAGCTTCCTGGAGGTTTTGGGCGCAAGTTCTTACGGGCCACCCACCCAGCAAACACCGCGCCGGCACCCCCACCACCCCTGACACCGCCAGTCTCCTCTCGGCACAAACTCGTAGGGGCCCCACCCACCCAGCAAAAACCGCGCCGGCACCCCCACCACCCCTGACACCGCCAGCTTCCTGGAGCCCCTGATAGTAATAGTAATAGCAATAGTAATAGTAGTAGTGGTAGGAGTAGGAGTAGGAGTAGGAGTAGTAGTAGTAGTAGTAGTAGTAGTAGTAGTAGTAGTAGTAGTAGTAGTAGTAGTAGTAGTAGTAGTGGTAGTAGTGGTAGTAGTAGTAGTAGTAGTAGTAGTATTAGGAGTAGTAGTAGTAGTAGTAGTAGTAGTAGTAGTAGGAGTAGTAGTAGTAGTCGTAGTAGTAGTAGTAGTAGAAGTAGTAATAGTAGTAGTAGTAGTAGGAATAGTAGTAGTAGTAGGAATAGTAGTAGTAGTAGTAGTAGTAGTAGTAGTAGTAGTAGTACTAGTAGTACTCTCGGCACAGACCCTGTAGGGGCCACCCACCCAGCAGAAACCGCGCCAGCACCCCCACCACCCCTGACACCGCCAGCTTCCTGGAGCCTCTAGTAGTAGTAGTAGTAGTAGTAGTTGTTGTTGTTGTAGTAGCTGTAGTAGTAGTAGTAGTAGTAGTAGAAGTAGTAGTAGTAGTAGTAGTAGTGATAGTAGTGGTAGGTAGTAGTCGTCGTAGTAGCTGGAGTTGTAGTAGTAGTAGTAGTAGTGGTAGTAGTAGTAGTAGTAGTAGTAGTGGTAGTAGTAGTAGTAGTAATAGTAGTAGTAGTAGTAATAGTGGTAGTAGTCGCAGTAATAGTAATAGTAGTACTAGTGGTGGTAGTAGTAGTAGTAGAAGTAGTAGTGGGAGGAGTAGAAGTAGTAGTTTTAGTTATAGTAGCAGTAGTAATAGTAGTAGTAGTAGTAGTAGTAGTAGTAGTAGTAGTAGTAGTAGTAGTACCAGTAGTACTAGTAATAATAATGATAGTAGTAGTAAGAATAATAGTAGTAATACTGGCCGTAGTAGTAGTAGTAGCCGTAGTAGTAGTAGTAGTAGTGGTGGTAGTAGTAGTAGTAGTAGTCGTAGTAGTAATCGTACTCGTAGTACTAGTAGTACTAGAAGTAGTAGCAGTAGTAACAGTAGTAGTAGTAGTAGTAGTAGTGGCAATAATAGTAGCAGTGACAATAGTAGTAGTAGTAGTACTACTACGACTACTACCAGAAGTAGTGGTAGTAGTAGTCGTAGTGGTAGAAGTAGTAGTAGTAGTGGTAGTAGTCGTAGTAGTAGTAGTAGCAGTAGTAGTAGTACTACTACTACGAATCGTAGTCGTAGTAGTCGCAGTAGTAGCAGCAGAATAGCGAGGGTAGTAGTAGCAGTAATAGTAGTAGCGGTAGCAGCGGTAGTAGCAGTAGAAGTATTTGTCGTCAAAGTAGTAAAGATAGTAGTAGTAGTAGTAGTAGTAGCAGTAGCAGTAGTAGTAGTAGTCGTAGTCGTAGTAGTAGTAGTAGTAGTAGTAGTAGTAGTAATAGTAGTAGTAGTAGTAGGTGTAGAAATTGTCGTAGTCGTCGTAATAACAGTAAGCTTAAAACTAATTCCCCAAACTGTGCTTGCACTCAGGGGCCCGTGCTTGGCCTAACCATCTTGGGGCCCGGGGCAACTTTTGCGGGCGGTGCCGCCCGTTGCCGTCCGTCGCCGCCGCTCGTCTCGGGATCAAGGGCAGCCGTCGCCGTCCGTGCCGCGCGTCGCCGCCATTGCCACCGTCGCCGCCGCGCAGCACAAAGCTTGCACCACATAGATAATAGTAGTGGTAGTAATAATAGTAGTAGTAGTAGTAGTAGTAGAAGTCGTCGTCGTAGTAGTAGTAGTACTACTACTACTACTAGCAGTGGTGATAAGAGCGAACACAAGAATAATCGTGAACGTAGTCGTAGTAGCCACGATACCTGCATTGGTAGAGGTCACAATAGAAAATCGCACCAATAGTCGTAGTAGTAATAGTAATCCTAGCAGTACTAGTAGTAGCAATCGTAGCATAAGTGATAGTGGTGGCAGAAGGAGTAGCAGTCGTAGTAGGAGTAGTCGTAACACTAAGTCTTGCAATCGTAATCGTAGTAGTAGTAGTCATATAATTCATATTCGTAATAGTAGTCGCGGTATTAGTAGTAGTAGTGGTGGTAAGAATAACAGTAGTAGTGGTACTAGTCGTAGTGGCAGTAGGAATAGTAAGAGTAGTAGTAATAGTCGTGGTGCTAGTAGCAGTAGTAGTGGTAGTAGCGAAAGTAGTAGTAGATGTAGTAGTCGTAGTAGTAGTAGTACTAGTACTAGTACCAGCAGAAATAATAGCGGTAATAGTAGTAGTAGCAATGGTAGTCTCAGTAGTAAGAAAAATAAAATTCGTAATCGTATCAATAAGAGTAAGAGTGGTAAAAGTAGTAGTAGTCGTGGTAGAGGTTAGGGCAGTAGTACTAAGGTCAAAACTAATAGCAGTAGCAGTAGCAGCAACAGTAGCAAGAGTAATAGTAGTAACAATAGTCGTAGAGGTAGCCGGCAAGGTAGTAGTAGTAGTAGTAGTAGTAGTAGTAGTCGTAGTAGAAGCAGCAATAGTAGAAGCAGTAGTAATGGTAGTAGTAATATTAAGCGTAGTAATACTCATCGTACCAGTAGTAGTAGCAGTAGCAGTAGCAGCAGTAGTATTAGCAGTAGTAGTGGAAGTAGTAGTAGTAGTAGTGGTAGTAGCAGTAGTAGTAGTAATAGTAAGTGTAGCACTTGTAGTCGTAGCTATACTTGAAGCAGTCGTAGTCGTAGTACTAGTTGTAGTACTAGTAATAGTCATCGTGGTAGTAGTAGAAGTAGGAGTAGTGATCGTGCCAGTAGTAGTAATAGTAGTAGTAGTAGTAGTAGTAGTAGTAGTCGTTGTAGTAGTAGTGGTAGTAGTGGAAGTAGTAGTAATAGCAGTAGTAGTAGTAGTGGTAGTAGTAGTAGTAGTAGCCGTAGTAATAGTAGTAGTGGTAGTAGTAGTAGTAGTTTTACTGGTAATCGTAGTAATCGTAGTAGTCGTAAGAGTCGTAGTAATAAGTGCAGCAGTCGTAATAGGAGTCGTAGTAGTAGTGATCGTACCAGTAGTGGTAGTAGTCGTAATAATAGTGGGTTAATAGTCGTAGTAGTAGTAGTAGTAGTATTAATAGTAGTAATAAATGTAGTAGAAATAGTCGTGATAGTTGTAGTAAAAATAGTAACCGTGGTAGTAGCCGTAGTCACCGTGGTAGTAGCAGTAGTAGTAATAATAGTTAGTAGTCGTAGCAGTAGTAGTCGTAAAACTGATTGTAGCAGTTGTGAAGTAGTCGCAGCAGTAGTAGTAGTAGTAGTCGTAGTAGTAGTAGTAGTAGTAGTAGCAGTAGTGGTATCAATCGTAGTAGAAGCATGACCGTAACATTTCATCTAGATTGCACCACGCCGGTTCCATCATACACAGTGTTCACAACATGTACTCCATGACGTAGATTGAATCCCATCGATTGCCCCACATAGACTGCACTACATCACTGTATATATGATATAAAATGGCACACCATGTATTGCACAACAAAGAATGGTAGAACACACACTGCTTGGACAAATCTGGGCCACCAAACAGGCAAACCATCTGAGACCTCCACACGTTCTGGGCGCAAGCGGGCAAGTTTCCCCCATCCCTGGCGGCTCGCCCTTTGGGTGCTCAAGTGCCACGTTTGCTACATCGCGATGAGCAGTGGAGCCTCAGAAGGAACCAGTTGGGACCACCACAAGGCAAACTGCCTGAGACATACCCACAATCTCGGCGCGAACGGGCAAGTATCCCCCTCCGTGGCGGGTGCTCGAATGCCTGCCACGCCTGCTGCATCGCGATGGGCATGGGGCTCTGAAAACGAGAACCTGAGTGTCACTGAGTCGGAGTGTGAGCGTGAGCAGTCTGTGCGTGAGTGGGTCTGTGCGGGAGTGAGTCTGAGTGTGAGCGAGTCTGAATATGAGTGGGTATGGGCGAGTATGAATATCAGTCGATCTGAATGTGAGCGGGTCTGACTGTCAAGAAGTCTGAAGTATGATTGAACTGAGTACGGGTTCATATGAGTGTGAGTGGTCTGTATGTGAGTGAGTGAGTGGATGAGTCTGAGTATCAGTGAGTCTGAGTCTGAGTGAGTCTGAGTACGACTAGGTTGACAAAGCACCAAGCTGGCACAAGCGGGCCTCCAGAAGGACCCAACATGGCCCAACAACGGCCCCAAGAGACACCCCAGACGGCTAGGAGAGACCCAAGACGGCTCAATAGGGCCCCAAGAGGGCCCCAGCACAGCTCAAGAGAGACCCAGGGGACCCCCGAGCCTGCTCGAAAGTAGCCCAAGACGGCCCCAAGACGGACCAAATAGGCCTCATGAGAGCTCCTCACGCAGTGGAGACGAGAGCTCTCATGTGATGTTCCAGGCGGTGCTCGAAGCATCGCCACCTAGAGCGCTTCGCAGGCACGGTGGTGCATTCGCCGTAGGCGACTGGATAGGTTGCGACGAGCGAGCGCAGACTCCGACGGAGCTGATACTTAGGAGCGCCCCCGCTCCACGGTAGCGAAACAGTACTCAGTACGTCTTCGAGCCTCGAGAAGGGCGCCTGCCTCGTGTCAGCGACAAGTGCGAGGCGCGCAAGGGGGCGGACAGCGGGAACGCAACGAGCCAACAAGCCCGCCAACGGTCGTCGTGTCTCCATTCTCCGGCCCCCGTCCTCGACCCCGTGCTCCTCTGCCGCTCCTTGCCCACCCTGAAGATCCTGGACGGGGGCCGCACTGCCCATCGTCTTATTCAACAGACTCCATGTCCTGCGCTCTGTGTCCTAGACCATAGACCGCAAGGCCCTACACCGTAACCTCTAGATTACGCGGGATGGATGGGACAGCAGCAGAGACCTTAAGAAAGCGGGGTGTGGCGTCCGGGTGCCCATCGCCCACCGCGCGGGGCCCATACCGACGGCTGCTGACCCAGCTGATCTCGACAAGGGTCATGCGAACAAGTATCTTCTTGCCCTGCGACAGTGGGCAAGGGGAGGGGCACCAGTCCAGCTCCAAGGACGCGCAGAGGCAGAGGTTCAGGCGGCGCATGTACGCCGAGCGCAGCAAGATGGGGTCCCCCAAGGTGGCCGTGGCCGGAGCGATCCTATCCTCGTGCTGGAAGTACGCACAGTGGACGAAGGAGATGAGCCGTTTTCTCTGGCTGATTTTCACCAGCGTGAGGAAGCCGTCGTCCTCCTCGGAGAGCCTCATGTGCGTCTGGAACGCGCCGGTGACACTATCGATCTTCCATGCTGGACTCAACGTATCCACGCAGGCACTGACGTTGGCGTCCTCGAGGTTCCTAGCGGGCGAGCTGCCAGAAGACAAGGGCGAGGACGAGCGGACTCGCTCGTCTCCCTCGTCACAGGGCAGGCCGTTCGTCAAGAGTGGTCCCGCCTTGCCCTCCTACCTCAGGAGCTCCGCCGCGCGTTCCCCGGCCTGCTGCTCGCGGATGCCCACGAGATGGAACTGCTGGCTCTCCTGGAGGAAACCCCACCACGAACACCTCAACCTCCAGAGTGATTCCAGCGCTACATGCCGGTCAGAGGTAAAAACATGAAGTAGGAAGAAGGATTAAGTTGATTGGGTCCAGGCCCTCCGAGAGAAGCATGTCGGTTCTTGAAGAAGGAAGGCGCTTGAAGTAGATTGGGATCTGGGAATCCAAAAATCCCACCAGCCCTTTGGGCGTGAGTGGTTTAGCGAGCTCTCTCTGTTCTCAACCCCCCTTCTTCCCCTTCGGGGAGGGGTTTACCCCTCCCCCTACCCCCTCCCCCTGGGCCTGGAGAGGTCCTTTCGCGGGTCGTCAGGGGGGTCATTTTCGACTCCTGGGAGGGCTAAAAAACGACACCCCTCACGAGGATTCTGGCCCCGACGGGGGGGGGCAGAAAAAACCCTCTCCTCTTCTTTGAAGCCAAAATCATTGATTTTACTACGGTTTTGGCCCCATTTTGGCCTTCTGAGGGGGCAGCGCTCATTAAAGCTCCCCTCTTCTTTGATCGATTCCCTCCAAGATGGCCCCAAGAAGCGCCCAGGAGGCACCAAGAGGCCCCAAGATGGCCCCAAGAGGCCCCCAGGAGGCCCCCAAGAGGCCTCCAAGAGGCCCCCAAGATGCCCCCAAGAGGTCCCCAAGAGGCCCCAAGAGGCGCCGAAGACGCCCCAAGAGGCCTCCAAGAGGCTCCCAAAAGACATCTACTACTACTTCTACTCCTACGACTACTACGACTACTACTACTACTACTACTACGACTACTACTACTACTACTACTACTACTACTACTACTACTACTACTACTACTACTACTACTACTACTACTACTACTACTACGACTACTACTACTACTACTACTACTACTACTACTACTACTACTACTACTACTACTACTACTACTACTACTACTACTACTACTATTACTACTAATACTAGTATCACTACATCATCTCCTACTACTACAACTACAACTACTATTACGACTACTACTAGTTCTAGTCCTACTACTACTACTACTACTACTACTACTACTACTACGACTACGACTACTACTACTACTACTACTACTACTACTACTACTACTACTACTGCTACTACTACTAGTACTGCCACTACCACTGCTACTAGTACCACTGCTACTAGTACTACTGGGACTACTACTACTGCTACCACTGCTACTAGTACTACTGGGACTACTACTACTACTGCTGCTCTTAGTACTAGGACTACTACTTCTACTATTACTACTAGTCCTATTCCTGCTACTACCACGACAACTACCACTACAGCTACTAAGACTACCATCGCTACTACTGCTTCTAGTACTGCTACTACTACGACTACTACTACTACTACTACTACTTCTACCTCTACTATTACTACTTCTACTCATGGTGCTACGGCCACTACTACTACCAGTACTACTACTACTACTACTACTACTACTACTACTACTACTACTACTACTACTACTACTACTACTACTACTACTACTACTACTACTACTACTACTACTACTACTACTTCCATATAGACCACTGCTCTAGTGACTGCCTCTGCTACTGAGACAACTAGTGCGACGACGACGTTGACGACTACGTTTGCTACTACCGCTGATACTGGAAATACCACTACTACTACTACTACTACTACTACTACTACTACTACTACTACTACTACTACTACTACTACTACTACTACTACTACTACTACTACTACTACTACTACTACTACCACTACCAGTACTACTACTGCTCCTACTGGTACTACTACTACTACTACTACTACTACTACTACTACTACTACTACTACTACTGCTACTACTATTGCTACTACTAGTACTACCACTACTAATCCCACCAGCCCTTTGGGCGTGAGTGGCTTAGAGAGCCCGCTCTGTTCTCAACCCCCCTTCTTCCCCTTCGGGGAGGGGTTTACCCCCCCCCCTACCCCCTACCCCTGGGCCTGGAGAGGGCGTTCCGCGGGTCGTTGGAGGGGTCTTTTTCGACTCCTCGGAGGGCTAAAAAACGACACCCCTCACGAGGATTCTGGCCCCGACGGGGGGGGGGAGAAAAAAACCCTCCCCATCTTTGATCGATCGCCCGAAAGTAGGCCCCAAGATACCTCCCAGACTCCTCCCAAAGAGCCCCAAGAGGCCCCAAGAGGCCTCCAAGAGGCCCCCAAGAGGCCCCCAAGAGGCTCCCAAGAGGCCCCAAGAGGCTCCCCCGAGGCACCCAAGACGCTCCTGGAAGCCCTTGGGGCCGCCGAGAGGCCCCCAAGACGCCCCAAACGGCCTCCAAGAGGCTCCCAAGAAGCCCGAAGAGGCTCCCCCAAGGCACCCAAGACGCTTCTCGGAGCCCCTGGGGCCGCCAAGAGGCCCCCAAGAGGCCCCAAAAGGCCTCCAAGAGGCTCCCAAAAGACATCTACTACTACTATCACTACTACGACTACTACGCCAGGACGAGGGGCCCGAACGACTCACACCACGAAGAGCCCGAACGACTCACACCAGAAGGAGGGGCCCGAACGACTCACACCAGGACGAGGCGCCCGAACGACTCACACCGAACGACTCACACCACGACGAGGGCCCCGAACGACTCACACCACGAGGAGCCCGAACGAGTCACACCAGGAGGAGGGGCCCGAACGACTCACACCAGGACGAGGGGCCCGAACAACTCACACCACGAGAAGCCCGAACGACTCACACCAGGACGAAGAGCCCGAACGACTCACACCACGAAGAGCCCGAACGACTCACACCAGGAAGAAGGGCCCGAACGACTCACACCAGGACGAGAAACCCCAAACGACTCAAATCACGAGGAGCGCTTTCTCTCCCTCCTCCTCCGCCTCGTCCTTCTCCCGCTCCCACCACAAGGAGGATGTACAAGGAGGCGGGAGGAAGGAGGAACAGGGGAAATATGCGGGGGCAGGCGGAAACACGCCTGAAAAACACGACTGTCGGCATGCTTCGCAAGAGTTGCTGTTTGGAGATGGGCTGGTGGGGATACGCGAAGCGTGAAGAATACCTACTTTCAACGACCGGCGCTATCCTTCACTGACACATGGAACGCAGCGCTCAGACGAGGCGGTCTGCCGACGGGCTGCCCCGCGGCCGCGGCTGCCGCCGTCTGCTTGTCGAACTGGGCACGATCCTCGGCAGACGCCAGGAAGCTGCGCATGTCCTCCTGCCGCGCGGACTGGCGCTGGTTAAGAAGAAGCGTGCTGCGCAACCCTGGCGAGTCTTGCCTGAGCTGTAGCGCGTGATCCACCACCACAACCACGTCGCAGATGCTCCGCAGCACGGACTGGGTAGCGGCTAGCTCGTTGCGCGAGGACTGCGCCTCCAGCTCCAGCCGCGTTAGAGTTGGTACAACAAGCGATCGAAAACAAAAATGCACAGCACAGTGACCACGGAGATTGTTGAGAGTTGCAGCGACTCTATAAGAGGATCTGCGCTGGCACACTGGCCACTACCCCGCTGACCAACAACCAAAGAGAGACAACATATCGCGTTGATGACGAAGATCCAGACCGCATTCAGCCATGGGTTCAAGAACGCCATGCTCAAACCAAGAGCGACGACCCAGGTGGCACCGGCGTACATCATGACTGCGTCCGCAGAAACGGCGATTGGCCACACCGTGGCGCTCAGGATAGCCATCATCGCCGAGTATATCCAGTTGGCAGAGCCTGGTGTGAGTGCGGACGGAAATTTCCAGGTGACCATCCAAATTGTGGCGTTTGCGAGTGCGCTGCAGTTCTGAAGAAACGACGTAGGCAGCGTGCCCCCCCGCCACATGGCTGAGACGCAGATCATGCTGGCGAGATGGGCGATGGGCAGCAGCGACTTGATCATGGACAGTTTTGTCCTCTGAAACTCCGGCGCCGCCTGCTGCGCATCGGAGTTAATGCCCTCGTCTTTCCAGTCAGTCTCGAAAGGTCCTCGAGCCTGTCTCAGCGGCACCACCATGCGCTGCAGCAGCCCCTGCGCCAGCACGCTGAGCAGCAGGCAAGCGCCGAGCAGCAGGTAAGCGCAGCCAGCCCCGAAGAGAGCACGCTTGACGTCGTCCCCTGGGCTGAGAGGGTGCATGCTCGTTCGACGGGTGCTCCTGGGGCTCAGCGCGTTGTATTAGGGGCACGGCGCCAATGCTGTTCGGCAGCTGGGGGCAAAAAAAAGCCTGGGCCAAAATCAATAATTACGGAAGGGGAAGGTGACACTTTGGAGGACGAGGAGGAGAAGGAGGAGGAGGAGGAGGAGGAGGAGGAGGAGGAGGAGGAGAGGGAGGAGGAGGAGGAGGAGGAGGAGGAGGAGGAGGAGGAGGAGGAGGAGGAGGAGGAGGGAGGAGGAGGAGGAGGAGGACGAGGAGGAGGAGGAGGCGGACGAGGAGGAGGAGGAGGGGGAAGAGGAGGAGGACGAGGAGGAGGGCTCTGGCTGGCTCTGGTTCTGAAGAAGATCTTGGGGGCGTGGTGCCTCCTTGGGGCCCTCTTCAGGGGCCGTATGTGGAATCGTGCGGACATGTGCAGGGCTTCTGAAAGCCGCCAGGAGCCACTTGGGGAGCTTCGGCCGTCTAAGGCCACTACGGCGGACCTCTTGCGCTGTCTTACACGCTCGCAAGGCCGACAAGGCACCCCTGATCAAATCGAAGAGAAACCACTGATTAAAAGATGTGTCTCGCCTCCTCGGATCGCATTGGGGACCTCATGGGAACCGCCTTCGGGCCTCTTCTGGTATGTTGGGAGGCACTTTGGGGCTCTATGGCTGCTCTTCGGAGCCTTCTCAGCCCTCTGAAACCATGTCCAGCTCCTTGATGGCATGTGGGGACATGCTGCGGACAGAACCGCGCTCGGAGACTCTTAAAGCCTCTTGGCAGCCTCGTCGGTGGTCTGAGAAGATCTTCATACCAGCAATGCGAATATCTTCAATATGTGCAGACGTGTTCAAACCAGGCAAGGTCACAATGGCTTCGAGCGACTTCGACCTCTCGGCGACAACATTACAAACGGTTTTACTCAAGAGATATTCCTTCAACCGCAGACCCAAACAATTGATAAGTCTATACTAGGGTTAACCCTTCCTTGGGGGGGAACGTGAATATTTGCGTGGTTGGATCATCAAAACAATCTTGCCTATAGGAGTCTGTCTGATTTCCATGCATAGAGAATCCGGGGATGGGGAAGGGGAGTTCCGAGGAGTGTGGGGGGAAAACGCCGCGAGGGGCCAGCCGGAAGCCAGACAGCGGATAAATACGCTCCAGCCCAAGTGACAAGATGCGCTCAAAACCCCAACTGTGACCATGATTTCAGCAGTAGAAGGCCACATGCGAACCCTACCCCACCTCCCCACGATTTCTAAGGGTGGAGGTGGGGTTCAGTTCGTTCGGGACCTCCCGAGCGAAATATGAACCCCACATCCCCCCTTAGAAATCGTGGGGTGGAGGGGTAGGATTCGCATGTGGCCGCCGAAGTAGCAGAACGTTCATCTTCAACGTGGGAAAGGCGGTACCCATGGTTGGCTAAATTGTATGAGCTGGTCACCTGCCGCTCTTCTTGCTGGAGGCAGGGAAAATCCTGGAACTATGCACGGACCCTATCCATGTGCAACAGGGTGATTGGTGTCCCACAACACCAAGCATAAGAAAAAACAGGAGGCTGGAGACTGCCTCAAGATAATTTCTCCTCATCGCATGCCGTAGCAAGAGAGACTTCCTGTCTTGCTGGAGTAGTCCGTGAGATTCCTGTCGCACTCAACGCAACAATCCTGATTGTCAGCCGTTGCCATGAGACAAAAGGTCCTCCAGCTTCACACTCTCACAGTGTTCGATCACTGTCAAGGCAGGGTGTGTGCGGGTTTGCCACAAGTGCACTGTTGGTTCCCTTTCAACATTACATGTTTCAGGGACCGTGTTCCTGGAATTGGCTCGCAGAAAGCCACGAACATACCGAGACGAAACCTTCCATCTCACTTTATGTTGTAAGTCAGTGGCGCAAAGGGTCCTCAGGCGCGAACAGCAGACTTAAGTGCTCATCCCACCAGCCCTCTGGGCGTAGGTGGCCTAGAGGTGTGGATGTCACGACAATGGACACTCTAGCAATCCGATCATTGAATCAAAAATGTGTTTAACACATGTAAAACATGCTCTAAACATGTTCCAAACATGTAATTTCAACACATTTAAGACATGTCCGAAATATCTTCTAGGCATCTGGAAAGTATCAGGCAGTACGCGCCCTCTCCGATAATCGACTCCAACACGCCTAGAGAGGCTCCTCTCCCAACCCCCTCCAGGCGCCCCGCGCCTCCCCCCGCCCTGGGGGGAGAGGAAAAAATCCTCGGCGGAGAACGAAGGGCATCGGGAGGTAGCGGCAGAACACAAACTGGAGGGAAGAGGACCAAGAAGGCCTTGGCCAGGGGGGGGCACGAGGAGGAGGGGAAGGAGAAGCAAACCCAGGCCAATGCAAACCAGGGTCAGCCAGGCTCTGCAGGATCCTGCAAGATCCTCCAGGATCCTGCAGGATCCTGCGCGCTAGCCAGGGTCAATGCAACCCTGGCTCTGCAGGATCCTGCAAGATCCGGCGCACTGGCTGACCCCGCTTGCATTGGCCCCCGTCTCTACCAATAGGTCGGGCATGTCCCCTATACAGGCAGATTTTGGAGGAACAGCAAAATAGTCAGAGAACAACTCCAAAAAATACTCAGAGATAGTCAAGAGATCGTCCCCAGACTATGATCTGACTATTATTGAAGATTCCTCCTGTCGAGAAACGCGCCCGACTCACATCTGCCAGCTCGAACGAGGAGGAGCAGCAAGAGGAGGGCCGACACCAGGCATGGCCTCGCCGCGGCGCCCCGCCCCTCCCACCGCGGACTCCTGCGGAGAAGGGCTCGCGCTTGGCCTGGCCCAGGGAGCGGCAAACGGACGCCGCTGGTGTCTCTCACCCTCGTCCCCCTGCACCTCAGCGTGCCCCGTCCTGCTCCTCCTCCTCCTCCTCCTCCTCCTCCTCCTCCTCCTCCTCCTCCTCCTCCTCCATCATCATCATCAGCATCATCATCATCATCATCATCGTCATCGTCCATCATCAGATCATCATTCATCATACTCAGCATCATCATCACCATCATTATCATAATCACATTCCGCATCATCATCATCAGCATCATCATCATCATCCATCAGCATCCGGCATCATGAATCATCACCACCATCATCAGCATCAGCATCATCATCATCATCATCAGCATCATCATCATCATCATCAGCATCAGCATCATCAACATCTTCGTCATCATCGGGACACCATAATCATCACCACCATCATCAACAGCATCATCATCACCCTCATCATCATCATCGGGACACCATCATCATCATCATCTTCATCATAATCATCTCATCATCATCTCATCATCAACATCATCGTGATCATCAACGTCAACATCATCATGATCATCATCATCATCACCGGGCACCATCATCATCAGCAACATCATCATCATCATCATCATCATCATCGGGACACCATCATCATCACCACCATCACCATCACCATCATCATCATCATCATCATCATCATCATCATCATCATCATCAACATCGCATACATCATCATCATCATCATCATCATCATCATCATCATCATCATCATCATTGGGACACCATCATCATCACCACCATCATCATCATCAACAGCATTATCGACATCATCATCATCACCTCATCATCGTCATTCATCACAAATACCATACCTCCACCATCATCATCATCCAACATCCTCACCATCAGCATCAGCATATCATTCGCTAATCCATGATCGCCATCATCATCACCACCACCACCACCACCACCACCACCACCACCACCATCATCATCATCATCATCATCATCATCATCATCATCATCATCATCATCATTTTCCGCTTCACCTGTGGCCATCCTTCCCCTCATCCTCCATCTACCACTTTTATTCCCCAACCCCGTTATCCTCCTCTTCCAACCCTCTGCCGGACCTCCGCCTCGCGCTTCAATCTCCTCCTCCAACTCCTCCTCCTCCTCGTCCTCCACTGTCCGCCTGTCTCATGATATCGCCCTCCTTGCCCCCTCACACATTCCCCATGTGTCATCCTTCTCGTCCCATCCACCCTCCTCCTCCTCCTCCTCCTCCTCTCCTACCTTATCCTCCTCCTCCTCCTCCTCCTCCTCTTCCTTCTCCTCCTCGTCCTCCTCCTCCTCCCCCTCCTCCCCCTCCTTCTCATCCTCCTCCTCCTTTTCCCGCCATCCTTCGCACCCCTCACCCATTCGTCTTCACCTCCTCCTCCTCCTCCCCCTCCACCAACCCAATCCTTCCTCTGCCTATTCCTACCCCTCCTCCTCCACCACCTCCTCCGCATCGCTAGCATCATCATCATCATCATCATCATCATCATCATCATCATCATCATCATCATCATCATCATCATCATCATCATCATCATCATCATCATCATCGTCATCATCATCATCATAATCACAGCATAATCATCATCCCTCATCATCACCCACCACCTCCACCACCACCACCACCACCACCACCACCTCATCATCATCATCATCATCATCATCATCATCATCATCATCATCATCATCATCATCATCGTCATCATCATCATCATCACCAGCATCATCATCGTCATCATCATTATCATCATCTTCATCTTTATATCATCATCAATTCTCATGACCACCATGACCACCACCACCATCATCATCGTCATCAGCATCATCAGCAGCAGCGGAAGCAGCATCAAATCATCATTGTCATCATCATCAGCGGCATCATCATCATAATCAGCATCAGCATCAGCATCACCATCATCATCATCATCATCATCATCATCGTCGTCGTCATCGTCATCAGCAGCATCATCATTGGCATCATAATATTCACCATCATCCGCATAAGCATCAGCGTCAGCGTCAGCATCATCAGCATCATCAGCATCAGCATCAGCATCACCATCATCAGCATCACCACCAACAACATAGCATCACCAACGTTACCGTCGTCGTCCTCCTCCTCCTCCTCATCCTACTCCTCCCTCATCTTCCTTCCCATCATCATCATCATCATCATCATCATCATCATCATCATCATCATCATCATCATCATCATCATCGTCAATATCATCATC